TATATATATATATATATATATATATATATATATACATATATATAAAATGATTGACTTTTAATGTCCACAGAACCATACACCTGGTTCATTTTTTGTAGGTTTTCTACTCCCTGTTAAGTTATTGTGTAAAATTGAGTTTGCTTGGAGAGGAGACTTCAAATTTTGATAATTTAAATAAAAACTCAGAGAAAATAAGTTTTATTTAATGACTTTTGTTATTATTGTGATGAAATTTTATATTTCAATACAATATTTCACCTCCACTCACAGAATAGCTTTTTCTGACTTGTGCTGTCCTCTATATGAGAGAGTTTTTGCTCGCCACTAGCCTTAATACTCCCACCTACCCTCACATTTTCACGTGAGGCAGCTGTGTGATATCATGAAATGAGCATGTGACAACCCTCCACCAATAGGAGCATGACACAACTCCTAGCACAACTGACTCCGTCTCTGCAGCTTAGCACAACTTCATTTCTCGATTGGCACTCGTTTTTTTGCTCATGATTTCCTTTTGGAATTTTCAATCAGTTCCCTATTTTTATTTTATGAGAATTAGTTTTTTTCTTCACATTTGCTATACTTGTGTTCTGAAATTTTAGTTTGTACATGTTAGCATTATGTGTCTTTTTATTATAATAAGTGATTCTATGCAGCTCCCTGTTTGGACTTTTTTACTTCCACTCTTTATTGAAATGGATTCTGTGTTTCACATTACAACTACTACCACTGCTGTTCCTCATACAGTTAATCTTACTAAAACAAATGTCTGCACAAGATGTTAAAGCTTTGGTTTTCCAGGAGTTGACTACCTTCATGCAGGCTCTTGATTTGCATGTGGGTTTTCCTCTCATGCCTTGTTCAGGAGTACTTGAACATGTTATAGATTTCGACAGCCTGGTTCCTCCCCATTCCTGTGCCAGATGGTTATGTTTAGCTCCATTAGCAGTAACCAGGCTTCCTTCTCTTTTCCTGGAGTTAATAAATCAGGTATGTTACATTTTGCCTTTGTTTTCCCCTTTTCTTTTAAGTGAAAAACCTTTAGGCCAATATCTTGTTCTCCCCCACCACACCAGATATTGGGGTTCATGCCATAAGGTTTGTGGACCACTTGCATTCTGGGGTCACTATGCCTCGACCCACATGTCATATGCTGTGGTTTACCATAGATCTACTTTTTTTTTTGGACTCCCAGCAGTTGGATTCTCTTTTGCCTCTGTGGGGTTCTGATCCCACTATTTTGGTGACATTTTCCCTTATCCCCCTCATGTTATTCACCCTCTTTCTTTCCCTTTCCTTGAATCACCTTCTGTAAGAGGCTCTTCATCGTTCCCCCTGAGCTTTGTACCCTGTTTTTTACATGTTTGCACAATTGTTCTCTTCTGCGTTTTTCATACCCACATGGTACCTCTGTTATTGGTTCTCTTGGATTGGGACATCCTTTTGTCCCAAGTGCATTTAACCCCAACCTTCTAACAGGACATGTGCATGGCCCCATTTTTAAGGCAAGATGGCTGCGGGATCTTCTGACTTGTTAGAGATCAGAGTCAATTCTGCACATTTGCACACCTCCTTTTCCTCATTCCTCATTTGTTTCTACCTCATCCAGCACCTGTTCCTGTGTCTTGTCCCCCTCCTTCCTCTCTTTTACCAGTACCTGCTTTACAGGTCTCCAAAGTTCCTCATCAGTTCATTTGTCGAATGCTTCAATGTCCCTGGTGATCCAGATGTCTTTGTGGTGGGTACAGGTTTAGTGAGGGACAGACATTTGCACTTTGCCACCATTAGGGAGCCCTTAACCACAGACCTTTTGTTTTTTTTCTAAAGGGCTTGTTCTTTGTTTAAGTTCCCTTCCTCTCCTACCCCTCATTCCATATCCTTCCCCACTCCTTGGGATTCTGTTTCCAGCCAGCATCTTTCTAAGATGGTTCTGGATCTTCTTCACTAAGGTTCTATAGAACAGGGAGATCCTTCTCAGCCAGGTTTCAATTCACATTTGTTTCTAGTCCCCACAAAGAATGGTAACTGGCACTCTGTCTTAACTCTCTTCCTTGAACTACTTCTTAGACCTTCCTCAATTCACCATGGAGTCCACCTATCTCCTCCATCGGTTTTACTTCTGGACTTTGGATGAAGAAGTTAGATATCTTGGATGCTTACCTCCATGTTCCCATTTCCCCAGCACCCTAGTTTTTTCTTGGTTTTCTCCATCATGGTTACATCTACCAATTGAGAGCTCTTCCATTTGGCTAGCTTTGGCTCCCTACATTTTTATTGGGTTGCCAAGGCCTTTGCCTCTCTTCTTCATTCCAGGGGCCTTCATCTCCACCATTATATAGACAACTTGCTGCTTCTATCTACTTTGTGTGCTATCTCCCCTTCACTCTCAGTTTCTTTTTCAAGAGGCTGCATAGGTAGGTTTGCTGGTCAAGGTGGAGAAGTCCTTCCTTTTTCCCACTCAATAACTTGTTTGTCTGGGGGGGGGGGGGTTCAATTTTTGTCTCAGCTGGCACACTTTTCTCCCCTTAGCCTGCAATCTATGGAGCTTCTGGTTCAGACCATTTCCTTATCTCATTATTCAACTGTGCAAAAGGTTCTGTCTCTTTTGGGGGTATAGGTTTTTTTGGAGGCCCTAATTTCCCTCAGTAGAGCCCACACATGACCTCATCAGTGGGCTTTACTAGATCAGTGGAACGTCATTTGAGATCCCATGGACGCTCCTATCCATCTTCCTCCTTCCCTTCATTTGGACTTTGGCCAGTAATTAGACAGAGACAACTCCACAGTGGGTGTTCCTTCTCCTCATCTGGGGGTGCACTTATTCACAGATGCTTCTCTTTTGGATTGGGGTGTGTATCTGAATATGCAAGAGTTATTGGGCCATTGTTCTATTGATGAGTCATCTCTGCATATCAATCTCTTGGCATTACTCCCCATTGATCAGGCTTTGGCTCACTTCCTTCTGTCTTTCCTGGAATCAGTCAGTTGTGTTCCATTCCAACAACTCATCAGTTGTTTCATCCTTCACTCAGCAAAGGGGCTCTCATTGTTTCCACATGTTGTACCTCCTGTTTTGGGCCCACAGCCAACACATTCACTTGTTGGTGTATTATATACTGAGTGCCTTGAATCTGGATGCAGTTTGTTTATCATGACCTGACAATGTTCTCCCCGTGGAGTGGTCTGTCAACTCACAGATGTTTGCTGGCTGTATTCCCAGTGGGGTACTCTGGAACTGGATGAATTTGCCTCCCAACTGAATTCCACTCTTCCCAGGGTTTGGACCCTAATTCTACATCCTTTGACTGTAGCTGTTGATGCCATCAGTCAAGATTGGTGGGACCTTTTCTTCTATGCCCATCCCCCATCTCTCTTCTTCCTCATGTTCTCTCTGTTATCCATGTCACTCTGTGTCATGTCCTATTGGTGGCACCACTTTGGTCTGCATAGTCATAGTTTCCACTCCTGCTCCTATTGTTGCTTCTTCCTCTTTCCCCTTTCACTCACCCTCCTTGTGCTACATCCTTTCATTCCAACAATATGTCTTCATGTGTAGCTTTTGTCTGGTCCCTTGCCAGATGGGCAGGATTTCTCTGTGGGTTGCTTTCCTGATTTCCCATTTCATTCACCCTTTCTCCTTGCCAGTTTACCAATGTAAGTGGTATGTCTACTGCCGTTGATCTTCTTATCATAGATATTCCCTGTCTTGTACTACTCTCCTGCATCTGGCTTTTCAATGAGAGGCTTTTGGTATCCATATTCTCTCCCATTTTCCTTCCTTCTATTTCTCACCTTTACCATCTTTTCAATCCCAATTACCTCTTATGTCCTGTCCTGGCTCACTGCTGGTACTTGGCTCACACTGCTCCCTTCCATGGTTCCAGTTCCCATTTGTTCATTCATTGCAACCCTTTCCTGTGATATTTCTCTTATTACCCTTACAGGTTGGATTCACCAGCTTATTTGCCTGGATTATTCTTCCCTGTCTGTCAATGATTGTTGTCTATTCCAAGTCTCCTCCCATCAAATCTATCACTTTACCATGTTCATAGTTGCCTAATTCTGTCATTCTTTAGAGGATATAGTTGGTGCCAGCATTTGGACCACTCCCCATATGTTTATTTCACATTATCTTCCTTGCCTGGCTGTTTCTGTTCTGCAGGTTACCATCTACCTCCTATTGTCAACTTGAGCTCCATAGTTTCTCTATGAGTTGGTAGGTGCTGTTTTTCTGCTTTTCTTTTTTACAGGGGCCTTTCTCGCATATACGGATCCTGCTCAATGGTGAGTGTTGCCTGACCAGTTAAGATTAGGGTAATGGTGTTCTGCTGGTGTATAGACACTCCTACTGCAAACCTGATGTACTGTTCTAGATGCTGCCTGGTTATGGACTGGATAATTTCCACCAAAATTCAGTTCACCCCTCTGGCTGGGTACCCTCCTTCCTATTGTCACCCACTTTGGTTCCCAAGGGATAATGGTGTTGGTAGGAGTTTTGTTGCATGCTATCATACAGCTGCCTCATGAGGGTACATGGGAGTATCAAATCTAGTGGCGAGTCAAAATTTGTGCATATAGAAGGCAGTACAAGTTGGGAAAACTAATCTAAGAGTGGAAATACATTTTCAGTGTAGAAAGATGTTAATTTTCATTTTTAGCCATGGCATAGTGTTTTTGAGTTTTTCAAGTGCAAACTTTTAGCTCGTGGCTCTGCCATCTCTTGACCGATTTGAGATCAAATTACAGTTTTGGACTCAGGAGGTCAAACACTTTTGATGTATGTGACCATACCCAAGGTGTCATACATTGATTTACTCAAATCCTACTTAAAATAATTTCAATTTGAGGGTACACTGGTAGAGATCTTAATGAGTAATAAAATTGAATCGAGTATACACGAGCTTTATGCTTGGTATTGCTGGCACACAAAAATATAGCTAATAGAAAGGAAATAAAAAAGGTCTCGTAGATTAACTTACTGTAATCATGCATAAAAGAATTTCAAGTGCTGTGGCTTTTGAGGATTCTCTCTTGTTTGAGATAATAAAATTAGTTGCAATAATTAAGAACAGGATTTAATTATATCTTTGCAAAAGCTTTATGTACATGAATAGAAATTATCCAGTAAATTTTCCCCGCAAAATATGTATAGATTTGATGAAAACTTTAATAACATTTTACCAGAAATGTGAATTAGAAGAGTGGCCATTTATCTGTTGTTTGTAAGTAACAGGTAATAGTTACTTGATCAAATATCTAGTTGTATAGGCATGGAAGATATTTGGGATAATTCACACAAGTGTCAGTTGAGAAGTTACAACTAAAAGATTTCATTCTACTAGATAAAATACTGCATCAAGGAAGAGAAAGACTTTTAAGTGGATCTTATAAGCAAGAATTGCTTATTAATGGACCTCTGTAGAAGTAACAGGAACTGTGAGTTCTTATCCTCTTCATGATGCAATGTCTTTTTGCTCTTAACAATAGGTTAGTACTTTGCCTTTTGCTATTTAGATAGTCTTGCTTTTGCCTTAAATTGACTAAATTTGCAGCTTCTCATTTTAAAGAAGTAGTGAAATTTAATGATTCTACATATTTAATACATAATGATTTTTCTTAAATAACTTCTTCATAGTGTATATTGCTCAGAAATGTTTTAAAACATTTGATTTTTGCCATCTGTTTGGTGGTATTTTGAAAATTATGTTAGTAGCATCTGAATGAATATTTTTTTCTGTCTTATACCATTTAGAAAATATACACGTTACTTGGTATCAATAAAACTTCAGACTTAGAAATAGAGTCTTTTGTAAGGTAGTTATTTTAGAGCAAACTATTCTTTAATCAATGTTACTCACAAAATGTTAAGAATTTTTTTTCCGTGATGTTGTTTATTGTGACACTGTTTTGCCTTTTCCAGTTTGATCATCTCTCTGACTATCTTCAGCAGTTAAGTGAAAAGTTACTCCAGTGTAACTCAGAATCATAAGATTGTTTCAGGTGGAACATGAAAATGCATTAACAGATAAGTCGGATACTATATAAATTCAAAGAAATTCAGTTTTATTTCATTTACTGATTAGTCGAAGATGTATACACACACATGAATAAGGAATTTTATGGTTAAGAGAGTACAATGTATTGAATTAAGTACAGTATTTATATTTTACTTGTCTCTTCACTTGAAATAAACACCAGCTAAAACCTAGTTCACAAATAACTGCAAAACAACTATGCTCAGATTAGATGATAAATGACCTGGACTGTGTTCTGTATGAGCTGCAAGTTTTGAGAGAAGTCCACTAATATCTTATTTGAAAATTCATCGTTTTGTTTAATTTTTACCTTTTAATCAAAGTCTCAGGAACTATCTTCAAATAATTTGATAAAGTGAGCAAAAAATGGCTGGAATTACTAGCAATTAGCCAAGCTTTTGTACTAGAATTTCACAGTGGATTCAGTTTTTATATATTTGGCACTGCTTTTTTATTGTTAGGCTTTAGATTTCTAAATAGCACAGTGGCCCAACTTTTAGTATGATCACTGAAGAACAACATGAAATTTCACTTCATTACACTAATTTTTAAAATTTTCAGTAGAGTATAAATAAACTTACATTAATGTACAACTATTCTACTAAAACCCATAACTAAACCTGTTCTTGTAACACATGTGCATAAAAACTGAACTCAAAGTAATTAGTAATTACTGCCATTTGTTCACTAGAATGAAAGAAATAAATATAACAATAATCAGGAATCTATAAAAGAACCAATCACATTTAATCGTGTATTACAGAAGTCCAGTACTGACAAACTGGCTATAGATTTTCCTAAAGATAATGCAAGTGTTTTTACTTCCATTGATGAGTTCATTCCATAGGATGCAACTGATCAAGAACAGATAAACTTGAATATTTCAACTACTGGAATTATGGATTAGATGACCTTTCAAAAGTTGTAGATAATAAAGCTTCTGTAGAGAATTCTGAAAACGGTGCTTCATGTTTACCTCTGGATTGAGTGATCTTTTAGATGAGTTCTTTTGGGAAGATCCTTTTTTTTAAAGAATCATTTGTAATATTTTTCATCACTTACAAAAAATTTTATACACTTTTTTCATCTTATAATTAACAATGTACATATCTACCTGTAAAGTTTTAATTATTATTTTGTGTGTGTGTGTGTAAATAAAAGTATTAGTTGAGTAAACATAGTAGTGAAGTATTTTTCTTTCATGGCAAACTGTTAAAATTATATTTAAAATTCTAGAGGGCACTATAAAAAAAAATTGATCACTCATCATTTATTTCTAAACACTTGTCAGGAAGATACATTTCATAACTTTTGTCACAAATGTTTTATTATTAGGAGGAGGGAAGTTCTACTGAAAGTAAAAAAAAAAAAGATTAATATCAAATTATTTTGAGAATTCATTCTCATGATATACATTAATCGTATAAAATTACATTGTTCTAGATTAATATCAGTTATTCACAGAATAAAATTTAAGTAAACTTAATGAATAATTCCTTTCTGAAAGCTGAACCACCTACTATAGTTTAACCCATTAACTGCGGCAGGAGCAGCTCAGTTGCTGTTTTCTAACCATGGTGGTAACTTTAATTTTTAGGGCAATTAGTAAACCATTTTTGTTAATCTTTTTTTTCTCCCTTTAATATTTCTTACTTGAATAAGATTTTAAATAGCGTAAATTAAAAACATAACCTTGCTAATTTATTTATAATAATATAATTCCTTTAAAGAAAATGGTTTAAAGGGAAACTAAAAAAATATATTTATTTAGAAAAATCGACTTTTGTATGGTAGATTTCAAAGCATGGTACTATGCATAATCCAACATCACAGTCTTTACACATGTATGATGTGTCCTTTCATTTTCCTTTAGCTGCACAAACACGGCATCGAAACGAAGATCTTCCAGGTTTTTCTTCTTTTTGAGGAGTAAAGTTTGGAAAGTGATATGCTGTGAAGCGATTAGGAGATGATTTTGGGGCATATCTTCCTGCTTTGGAGGTGCATTCCACATATTTCTCAATAAGTCGCTTTATGAGTTCTATTTTGAACGTCAGCAATGTGTTCTTAACACCAAGCTTCTTATGAATTATAAAGGATGTCAATACAGCGATATCAAGGAATCTAAGATAGATTTTTTTTGTAGTACTTTTTTAGATGACTCCTAGCTGCATCATAGGATGAAATCACTTGATCCATGTGATCCACGCCTCCCATCACCTTCTTTTAATTGATACACACACGAGACTTGCTCTTTTCCAAGTTACCTTCGTTTACACTCTTTCTTTCAGCATCATGGGTAGTGCTTATCATCATCACCTCTCTCTTGTCTCTCCATTGCATGACCATAAGTTTACCTTTATACATGGTAATATCTTGTCCCTTTTTTAGCTTTGCTTTTGAAACTTACTTTGGAATTCCTTTTCAATTTTTTTACAAAGTTCCAATTGCATCTGTCATGTGGGAAACTAAAAAATCGAAAAGTGGTGGCAAAGAGTAATAGTTATCCATTGAAAGATAAAAGCCCTTATCCAAAAGGTCTGTCATGAGATGCAGGACGACTTTTGTTGAATGATTTAGGTATTCTGGTGCAATTTCAGTAGCACAAGGAGGCATTTGAAGATCTGTTTCCTTTCCAGTGTAAACTTCAAAGTTATACACCTATCCTGTGCTTGATTCGCAAAGAAAGTAGCCCTTAATTCCAAATCGAGCACGCTATAGCAGGATGTACATCTTCCATCCTAATCTACCCTTCCATAGAAGTAAGCTCTCATCTATGCATATATTCTTTTCAGGGAAATATGCACTCTGAAAAGACTCCTTGTATAAGTTTAGATCTCTAATCTTATATAATTTATCTGGAGAGTCTTTAGAAGCAGAGAAGTGCAAGTGTTGCAGGAGAAATTTATCTCTCGACATTGTTTCTCCCAAAAAAGGTGTTGCCAACACAAGATTCTTTGAAAAATACATCATAAAATCAGGCTTTTTGATTATTCCCATCAATAACAACATTGCATCGAGTACACGCATTTCGCCGACGTTTGTGTCTTTCCAATTTTGTAGTCTACTTTTCTTCTTCAATAATCCTGAGATGAATTTTTTGCAAGTTTCATTAGCATATGCATTAGTTTCCGAGACGATTTTCAACATTATTTTAGCATTTTGAATAGATTCAAAAAATCTCCAAAACATTATCAGGATTGGTTTCCTTTATTTTGATACCCGAATCTTCACTAAAAGTAAAAAAATTTCTTTTGCTTCCGATGAATGACCACTCTACTTACGAAGTACTTGGTACATTTGTTTGTTCATTATCGGATAAATCATCAGTTGTGACTTCATTAGTAAATTCTTCTTCACTACAAGAGGATAAATCTAAGCTTGATTCGTCGCCTTCACAAAGGTATTGGCAAAGCTCTTCATCAACAATAACCTGCTTTGCCATTTCAACGGAGGAGAAAAATTTTGAAATGACCCTCTCCGACTAAATAGCTTTTGAGCACTGATTGCTTGGAGGTAGGGGTAGGATCTGATACCCTGACTCACAGATAAAACTGAGTTGCCATCAATCACAATAAAATGGATATTTTCGTCATTTGCAGCTGAGCCATAGAACTTCAATGATGGAAATATCCGTCATCTGCAGTTGATGGGTTAATACTGTAGGTACTGTTATTGGCAAGGTGTTTAAAACAAATCCAGCTTTACTGATCTGAGAATGTAGTAATTTTCATATTACTGTTTATACTATCTCAGTGAGGTAGGGTGTTACACTAAAACAAATTTCTGGTTTCAAAGCTATTGCATATTAACCCTCTCGCTACTGACAGGTCAAAGGGTGCATGTCTCGATGTTTTAGGTATTTTCAAAATTTGATATTGTACGTCAGTAAAATTGGCATCACAATGTAGTTTATAACCCAAGTTTTAATGTTATATATGTGTTAATTTCTAAATTTGAAATATTAAAGACAAAAGCTAAATATGATTTTTTGTGTTGTATGGCATGTCTTGTTGCTCAGTTTTTTTATCACACCTACCATATGTCTATCGTGGTTAAGTAATTAGAAACTCAAATTTCAGACATTTATAAGCTAGAATACAAAAGAACCTCACACCTTTTTGATTTGCAGACCTACTAGTGTAGCCCCACCTACTTTTAAGTACATATTTATACCAATAGAAAGAGTTCATTCTAAACTAGATAAATCTCTGACTATCATTTCTTATTTCTCTGGAAATTGTGAAATCTGTTGATCAAGTAATTGATCTGAACAGAAATGACAATTTTTAACCCACATACAGCTTAGTTAGAAAGCCACATAAGTTAGTGGTTTTACGTGTACTAATATAGTAAATTGATAATTTTTTGGTTTTCAAATCTACAACAATTAATTTATCTTCCCCCTCCACTTGAGAGAATAAACGAGGCTTCTCAAATCTGACAGGCGAGTACAAGTAAATGTTGTAACTTGGTAAGTATCAGAGATCATTGTTTTCTATATTTTTTTTGTTTATTGCTATACATTTTAAGGAAAAAAAAATTAACATTTATGAGTAAGTAATGTTAATATATATTCATATAAGCATTTGCACATTTTGTAGACCACTATAACTAATTAACATCCAAATAGCTACGAAGTTTATTGGATAGGCCCAGACTGTACAAAGTTATAGCACACATTTTATCACACTTTTATTACTTTAGACAATTCTCGTTCCATCCACTTTACTGTAAACACGCCCATAAATCCTCTCCCATTGTATTCTTATAACTGGGATTACGATAAACTCTCTGGGAAAGTTCTGGTAATTGTGCTACATGTGCTTATTTGCTATTAACAGTGTTAAACAGTAATGGCAGGAACAGCAATTCATTTGCTTTATATTCAGCAGGTTTCTATTTTAGCTGCTCACAGTAAAATAGATGTGAAAAGATTAAAAGTAGAAACTTTCAGAAGTATCTTGGAACTTCGTGGTTGATATCAAAAAGGACAGAACACTGTTTATTTTATTTTGCATTTTTCAACCTTCAAAGTTTAATGGTTAGGAGATCTGTCATCTGAGTGATCTTGTATAGAGCGAGGGTAGAGAAAATAACAGGTAAAATATAAAGTTTTTCTGAAAAAAAAACAACAACAAAAGATCAATTTATTTACTTAAGAGACTATGTAAATGAAATTCGAAAATTTTCAGAGGGAGTATTCTTAATTTTAACATGAAAATCACTTTGCATTTTGAGCAGTCAACACTCTGACTAAATATTCCGATTCTTTGTGTACAAAAGATGTAATGTTTATTAAAAGCTTGAAGAATTTCATGAAGATACACAAAACATGTTACAAGTTATACTATTAAAACTCTGATGGTCACTTTGTGGTCACAAGGTCAGTGTAATCCACCATATCAGTAGCGAAAGAGCTAATGCCAGCAAAAACCAGGAGTAACAAGGAATATTCATATTATTTTACTCTTGAAACTTGGAAGAACAAATACAAATCAAGCAATATTTAACAGTGGTTGATACATTCCAAATCGACATATGAAGTACTTGTATCTTATGTTTGATTGAAAGTATTATGTTAAAAGCATTCCCATATGGCACTAACAAGTATGATTGACACTGAAAGTTGCTTTCCAAACTGGTTCTCTTATGTACAAATTACAAGATATAAACGAATGATAAAAAGGAAAAACATTGACTATTATACATGTATAACACTAATATACCAACACCATAATACAATAGTCTAAAGACTAGGAAAGCATAAGAAAACTTTCATCCAATAAGTTATGATAAAGAAAAAAAACTTGCACTGTAGCTGGATTTGTATTTCTAAAAGTAATATTGACAGAGATAATACCCTCAAACATCACATTAATTACAATGTCTGACTATTTAGTAAGAAGTACATTATCTATAACTTGAATGATACATAAAAAGAACTTAAATTACATCAGGGATTGCTTTAGTTGAGTTGCTAACTTCATACATAGTCATATTTGAAAGCTGAGATTCCAGATTCTGGTGAGCCCATTCTGGAAAGGTGTTTAAGTCATAAACAACTCTTCCCAAAGTGTTTACGTTCAGTAACATCACTCCAATGGTGAGGATTTTCACTACTAAACCTGGTGGCAGCTGAAAATTAAGTGGAGTTGATTATTAGACAAAAAATATGCTGATTTTCTGAAGCTACATATTTTTATTAAATACCACAATTTGATTTTTTCTGTTTAAACTATTTTTTCCAAATAAACATTTAATAAACTAGATATTGAAATATTTAAAAAATGTGAACTATTTTTCCATGAATAGTTTGAAAGGAAAATTCTGTATACAGGAGAAGTTCAACATGATATAAGATACTTGAAATCGAAATCATATCTTTATAAGCAAAGTTGACATATTAACTGAGCAAAAGGTCTCATTGGCAGATTTATACAAGTGTATTTTGAAATGCTATTGTTATGATAAAAACCCACGTGGCAGAAGAGGAAGATGTAATTAACATTGCTATCAGTTTATGATTGACTTGTTACTATTAGTCTTTTCACTGTTTCATTTGTTATGAAAAATCCAACTGTCAGGATGCTACCATTGAAAGGACAAGTGAATTATATCAAATGCACATTTTAAAATTAGTAAGTATAAATAGTATGCAATTTTTGTAGAAGTTAAAAGAGAAAATGATATTTCTCTAATAATACAAATTTAGCTTATTTAACTAATAAATTTAAAGTTTCAGAAAACAGGACTGCAGTTAAACGTAACAGCTTGTACTGAAAATTTTTGATGATTAGTCTAGGCCTACTTACTATGAAGATGCAAATAGTTAAACAGATATCCGAGACAATATTTGGAGAATTCCTATACAAGCTAAGTTAGTACTTAAGTTAGTAGACTTGCACAAAGAGTATACAACATTCTGAATATTACAAAACTTGCAGATCCTACTTTAGGAGCCAAATAGTTCAGTACATTCTTGAGAACAAATACTGAATGAATGTTCACCATTCTGTACACATTTTGAGTCTCCACACTAATTTTCATACTTTATTAAAAGTTGAATGAACTGTACGTTCTATGGATTTCTGCATTTTTGATTTACTTTTGAGACAACGTGATACCCATCATGCTAAGTCCTTTATCAGAGCTGAGGAAGTTTAGAAACATATGGTCTAACCCAGAACAGTAAAAACACAATCTTGATTAAGAAATTTCAACACTGCTGACTTTTGATAGAATCATATTCTTCACAAATTTGCTTTCTATGTGCTAGTCTCTCACTTGATATCTAGTGTATTAGTCTTTATCATAAGTGAAAATTTCTTTAATTTTTCCAAGTTCCCGATGTTGACTGTTAACCAGATTCTTTTTATTTCTCTTACTCAAAGGTGTTTGGGTGTAAAAGTTTTGACGGTATCTATGATTTCTTTTAGTCTGTTTAATTCTTCCTATTTTTCTCAGCAGATACACTACTGTAAGCTATGTTTTTATTTTTTTTGGGTTGCTCAGTTTAACTTTTGTGAGCATTCTTAGGTGTTTTGCTCAATTTCAAGAATAGTTTGATTTTAAATTTCTTGCAAATACTGCCAAGCTATAAGCTTAGGCTTATACAAATGAGTTGATGTATGCACAGAAATATTTTTTTTAAAGTGCCCGTTTAACTGAATACATAGGATATCCATCAAACTGTAGTGTCTTCTTAAGGAACGAGAATTCTCATTATGTATTTTGTTTTTCACAACTTTCTCTGGTCTACATTAAAATACTCTGATTCCACATTTGATTGATTGTGAAGAGGAATTTATATTGTATTCAATAGAAAGGTTGTGTTCATGGTGACATATTAAAATGTGTAAAAAAAAAAAAATAGGTGGTTGTGGTTTTCCTCTATTTCTTTAAAGTTAAGTGAATGTCAGTATTTTGTTGTTGTAGTATATCAGACCTTACTTTACTTAACTGTTTCAGATCTGTTTAGCATGGAACCTGAAACTGTTTCAAAGCAAGATAAAAGGCATGAGATCACAACAGATACATTCCACTCAAACACACATTACCTAACTTTATCTTCATAGAGTGTGATTGGAGGATATGTGCATTTTGTTGAACATGTATATATATATTATAATACACAAACATTTTTTTAAATTCATGTAATTTTTGTCAGGGTTGTGCTAAAATACAAAAATGGAGTATTAACTCAGTAGAATGCACACCACCACCATGCAGTGTTGATCATATTCAGCTCTCAAAAATAAGAAAATGTGTCCATATGTCTGTCATTATCAATGGATGCGGGCCATTTTTGGCAGGGCAATGACGAATGATATTCTACACATGTCCACCAAGTTTCATCAAAATCCGATCATTTTTGACTGAGCTATAGAGCAAAGCTAGTGTGAAAAATTGGACCCCATGTTAACAGATGGAGATTTTTCTTTTATTTTTGTGACGTTGACCCTCCTAAAACTAATCACTTCTAAGTTGGATCATAATCCAAATCCATTCAGCCATTTTTAAGAAATGCTGCTGATAAACACATAACACACACACACACATGTAGGAATGAAAACATCACTTCCATCCACCTTCGGTGGCAGAGGTAATCTTTAATAATTATCCATAAGTTAAAAATAAAAGTGCTCTCATTTTGAGAGTAAAATGTATTTTAATGAAATTAAAAACATATTCAAAGAATTTAAATAGCTGTACATTCTTGGAATTTGCCAGAAGGATGAATATTTTATCATTAGTCAATTTAACAATGTTAGTATGGAAAGAACAGTCAGATTAAAAATACTAGTATGCACTGCATTAAGCAAGATACAATTATGATAGACACTTAAAAAGTTTATTTTTTGTTTTTTCATGTTATTTTCTTTTAGATGATTTCAAAATCAATAAAACATACAGATTTGTTTGAGATTTTTGTAGCTGACTTCAATTTACTTAAAGCTGTTTCCTTGACATAATCACTCATAAAATTGCACTACTTGCCAACATACAGAAAAGTAGTACGTTGTCAATATCATAAAGCTTAAGTGAAATAAACTATCTTATATGGTCATAATACAAAATCATTTAATTCTGACAGGAATCATTGTATACAAAATAATTCCAGTACTTACCATGTCCCCTGCCTTCAACTGGGCATGTGTAAACACTATAGCATTAGCTGGGGTTGCTACTGGAAGCATAAAGGCACAGGAACATGCTAGGGTTGTTGGAATCATCAGGAATAAAGGATTGACTTGTAAAGTTGTTCCCTAGAAAGAATAAGAAAAAAAAAAGTCTTGGATTACATTAGAAATCCTCAAACATAGTAGGTCAATCAATACAATAATTGATTGATCTGCACAGTATATTTTTAGAATTTTCATGCAAAGCTACACAAGGGCTACATGTATATAGATGTCTGTAATTTTCAATTTATATACAACAAGGACGAAAGTCAACTTTTAGGCTACACTTGTCTAACTAAATAGAGGAATTTAACCATAACATGGTAGTGGGCTGTGTGTTTCTTTGTTGTTAAGTGCAAATCTACACAAAGAGCTATCTGTGCTGTGCCCACCACAGGTATCAAAACTCAGTTTTTAGTATTGTAAGCCTTCACATTTATTGCTGAACCTCTGGGGAGCTAGTGATATGGATAAGCAAAAAACATTCAGATCCACAGTCCTAGCACACTAACCACTAGGCCACACCTGGCTCTAACAATGACAATAATAATATTTTTTCCAAACTTACTTTCTAGGGCATATTGTGAAAAGTTTTTCTTTTTGCTTGTTCCATTAAATTGACAACTGCCACACAGGAACCTGTGCAGAAGTGCTACACAAAATGGTTACCCCACTTTAAAATAATAAGCAGTTTTGCATCTTGTTTACAATTTATTCTCAGAGCTAAGAATAATATAAATATTGCTATCTATTTCTGTGTTCTGTCCTCAGGAAATTTAGTTTCTTAGCTAGAATACTTGAATGTGAACCATTTCTAATACTTGATTAATTATGAAACTTGTGTATCTAATTTTTGATTATTGTGGACAGAAGCTCTTATCTTCTTGGTTTAACAAGTGTCATAAAATCAGATATTTCTTTTAGGCTAATAATTTAATTAGGAAACATCACAGTTTTTTGCAAAAATGTTTCTTCTATTAAATTTTTGTTAATACAGTTTAAGAATTATCCTTTAGTGCAAACTATAAGTAAAATTAGTTACCTTCATCCAAACAATCTAGAATTACCTAGTAATCTACGATTAATTTGTAGAATTAACGTAACAAAATATTAATTAAAAAATTTACTATTGACATCAAAACGTTCTTGCAATTTGCATAGATTAGTATTGCTAATCGATTTTCAAGCTTGCATAATGAGAAACAATTACTAAAACAATAAAAATATTTTCTCTCAGAATAATCTAAAGATTTGATATCATTTATATACTAGTGGAAAAAAGAAACTGTGCATCACTTAAAATATGAAAAGAAAAATCGAATAAATATAATTTTAATTTTGCAATATTGTTAACAAATGCATTGGTTACAAAATTTCGTAGTCATCAAACGTAATTTTTAGGGCATTTGAAAGATGCTGGTATTCATAAGGAAACTTACAGGGCTAATATCGCGTGTGTCAACCATTTGCATCCACATATGCTTGACAACGGCGCTTCATTGATGACACTAAATTGTTCAAAAAGGCCTGTGGAATGTTATTCCAGATGTTGGTTAATGCCGTGCCCAAATCTACCAACGTTACTGTCTAATTTGGTAGATGACGTAAATGCCTTTCCATTTCATCCCAGACATGCTCAATTGGTGACAAATAAGCTGAAACCACGGGTCAGGGTAAAACATCAACATTCTGTTGGACTATACGTGCAACATGCAGTCATACATTATCATGCTGGAGCGTTATGTTGTTGCATTGTCTCTGAATGAATGGGATAGCATGGCATTGAATAATCTCATCCCGATAACATACACCAGTGAGGTTCCCATTGATAACTGCTAAAGGTGTTCGTCCATGGGCTGTGATTCCGCCCCACACCTTTATGCTGCCTCCACCAGACTGTCGATGTTTCACTACACATGTCTCGATATTGCTCTCCAACATGACAATACACTCTGCAATGGCCATCACTGCTGTCCAGGTGAAATCTGGATTCATCGGTGAAGAGCACCATAGCCCAGTCCTGTATTCTGAATTTCAGATACCATCTACACCATGCTAGCCTAGCTGTACAGTGACGTCGGAGCAATATTGGATGAATCGCTGGAGATCTTGGTCTGATGTTGTGTTCGTGCAAACGGTTACACACTGTTCTGGGACTAATCGGTCAAAGACCAGTAATGCTGCAAGCAGTCAAACTTGCAGTCTGGAAACGATTTCTAAGGTGAACCAGTCTACTGTGGTTGTCCTGTTGACGTGATGTTACATGAGGACGTCCTGAACGTGGTCGTCTCGGACATTTCCTGCTTGTTGGAACCATGTGCGAAGATGTTCATCTTCACTGAGCCTTGGCATCACCGAAGGGTAATTCTCGGTGCAACAAAAAATTATTTCCTGAATGACTGGAGCCTGAATAAATGTTTTACACCTGTTTATTTAGAAATCATTGTCAAAGAAAAATCGTGGGTATGAAATTTGAATAAACAAAAAGGTGTTTACGAGCCATGAAAAATCCCATGCAACCGAGCCAAGTACTACCCGATATGTTCAACGACATATCCTGTATTGATTTTTTTTATGTCATAACACTAAACCTAATGTATATGAATTTTATTCCATTTTAAGTCCATCAGAGTTTCTTTTTTCCATTAGTATAGTAAACTAGAAAGTAAAAATATCAAAAAATCTCCTGGAAGAACTACAAAGATAACTAAATTTATACATTATAAACTGAAGTTTTAAACAGATTATCTTTTTCAAATAAAATAATTTACTCTTTGAGAAAAATAAACAGTTAGCTTATGCACACATTGTTGATCTCTGTGGACATCAAATCATCTTCTGTTGTGTTTCTGGTTTTTATACTTGGTATTAGACAATATAATGTCCAATATTAAATTCTAAAGTTTTTTTTTAGTAGGAATGAACATTTTTAGTTTCGATGTTTTAATAATATCAACAACTTACAAGTTCTGCAACTACTGGAAGCAAGATAGTTGCAGTTGCAGAATTGCTGGCAAATTCTGTGAGGAATGCTGTCAAAACAGAAATTACCACAATGACACCTTCAATGGATAAAAACTGCAAAGTTGCTAGTTGATGTCCTAACCATCGAGACAAGCCTGATTCCTGTGGAGTATATAAAACAGATTTCTGTTGTACAGGTTACAATATTAATTAGCATTTGGAATTTTATTTAATATATATATCATTATATGTACATTCTGATTCAATAAGTGGACCATCTTCCAAAATCTTTTATACACCATTTTTTATTGTATGCTTTTATACAGTACATAAAATATGGTTTTAGGAAAAAATCAATTACATGAACCTTTATACACTAATTTCTTTATTTTTTACTTAATATTTAATTAGTACATATTTTCATAGTAATAGTTTTTAAATTTATTACTAATTATTTTAATAACAGTCTTCTAGAAAGTGCAAGATTGTTTGGGATTAGATTTTGTAAAATGACTCCACCAATAACCATAAATACTGAAAAAATATTCATACGCTAGTTGCCTCTGCCATTGAGAAGCCTCCTCCTCTCAGAAGAACTACTCCCCAGGGTATTCTCTGTTGAATTACAGGCCATGTTACTAAGGCAGGACTGAGACCAGATTTAAAGGGTTGGGCTGGTATTATGAACAGAAGTAACACTATCAACATAACAACAGTGGCATCTTTTGGCTTGCTATAATAAAAAGTATGATAAAACATGAGTAATGAAAATTAAAATGTTTTACAATAAAATTAGTATCTTAAAAAGTTAAAATATATTACAGAATTGGCAGTTCTCCCATATTCATTTGTGAATGATGTATTATATTAATATATCTTTTTAAAACACATTACTTTAAGACATAATTATTTCATATTTGAAATTAATACCTAGGAATTCATCAAATCTGTTTATTTAAGATAAAACTCTAACCAATATTATTGCATATTTGGAATTTGAATTTAAGAAAATGCTTTCCTGTAATTCGAAACTTTTGAAACATTTTTATGTTATTGTTTGATAAAGTTTTACTGAGTTTAGTATGAAAAAGCTCTGCCTGAAGATAGCAATTAAGTTTTTAAAAATATAATTTACATTTTACTTGCTAGACAATATTGTTATATGTAGTTTGAAATGAAAACTAAATACATACTAATCTCCAAAATAAGTGGCCCATCCTCTGGCAAAGTGGGGATCTCTGAACATCCATAAACAAACTAACAAAATAAATAGAACTAAAACAGCTCCTTCATGGAATCTAAAGACAGGGAAGAAAAGAAATTAATATGCAAATTATAACTTGGAAATATTTTATTCAATTTTTTTTTTCTAAGATAAATCAATAAGTGCAACTTAGTTCAACATTTTTCAACACCAAAATTGAAAGTAATTTTCAGTCAAAGCAATTTTGCAGTATATCAGCTGAAAATCTTTTAAAATTTGAACTCAGTTTGACTGAATTGCCCTGAAAAGCCTCTTAGGATACTGGGAAGTTTATTAAGATAAATTAATAAAACTATTCTAGCTTCACAAACCATATTTTTAGGGAACAAGTTTGATAAACAGATTTCAGATAATGCATTAAAAGTAGATCTAAGTAGAATACAATGATCAAGAAAAGTGCAAAAAATGATGAAAAATGGAACATAAAATTAAAGGGCAATAACATTTATCAGCATCCATATTCAGTTAATATAAGTTTTTGAATTTAAGAGAAATGGTATAATGAAAGATATTGCACCAATATGGGAATTTATTCTTACAATTTGTATTTCATTATTTGGGTTTGAGCCACAGACTTGTTACATATCAGGATAGTGCTCTACTACTTGAACTAAAGGGTTAACTCACTAGTACCAGTTAGTAAGTCACTTTTAACAACTACTACATTCTTCCTCTTTAACAAACAAGACCCATCCTCGGGTCTAATTTCAGGACAGTAGGTTCAAACCCCATGTTTGGTGCAAGTTTTTCTTCTGGTAATTTGTTTTTTTACTCAGTTCAGATTCCAATTCAAGAACTCTCACAAGCCAAGAAAGTGCGCTACCAACTGAGCTAAAAGGCTAACCCATTAGCATTTGCTAACAAGTGATTTTTTTTAACAACTCAAAATACTTCAGTGTGATCGACTGTGTACCGAGAAACGTTTCAAAATGAAAAAAATCTAAATAATTCTTAAAATTTTGTAACTATACAATTCAAAACCATCTTATTGAAGCATATCAAAATCTATTTTCTCAAAACAAAATCTTATTGATTTGAGATAATGATTATAGGAATTTTTCTTATAAAGCTTACGTCATTGGTCCAAGTTCTTCATATTTTTTTCTGATGATTTGCCTGGCAGCCTGATTTTGTTTGGATTGGTTTCCACAACTGTAAGGAGAATAATCTGAAGTAGTCAGTGGTTTACCTCGTAATGATACAAATTTAGCTTCATGCAAAACAAAGTAACAATATAAAATACTTTTAAGAGTTTGATGCCAAAAACTGCTAGATGTAATAATGAAACAACAGACAGACATCAAAATCTTCTCAATTCACTAAGTGCATATGAATTCAAACTGCAAAACCAAGAAACAATTTAAATTATGACCTATTTTAATTTCTTATATATCAACTTTGTATCTTCTGATATGAAGTAATTAGAATGACCTTGACTGGCTTGCTAGCCACCAAGGTGGTGCAATGGAAGTTTATGGTACAGTTCTAAACATTTTACTTGTGCAACCATATGTTGACATTCAAATCACAAAACATTAGGTCTTGGAAACTTCATGAAGAAATGTGCCCCAGTATTACTGTGCACTAATTGTATGAAACAAATTGGTAGGCATCAATTTTTAAAGGATATTAGACATCAAGTGAAGTGGGGAATAACTGTAAATCGTGTACATGCAGTAAACATGTATGTAACCTTGGTGTTCATAATGACATATGCAAAAGTTACTTTAACCCAGAGAATAACAAGGATCCAACTACTCTTAGGTATAGTACTGTTTTAATTTTCCCTATAATAAAGTTTTGGGAGGTCCATCTTTCTGCTTCGTTTGTAATTAATTTCTGTAAAAAAGAAAAAAATTCAGTTTCATGTGGCCTAATTCTAGTTGAGCAAGTATGCTACATTTATAGGTCACAGTCAACTTGCTTATATAACAAGGTTTGGTTCAGGTAAAACTGTAGTTAAATGAACATGAGTTTTATTGATTTACATGACAGTAAAATAAAGTAGTTTAAATTATTTGATAGTAAGTCAAGTATTTTGAGTAGAGCTTGAAATTTGTTTTTATTCTTGCATAATTCATGAAAACTACCATTAAACTGATCTAACTCATTCAAGTAGCAAAAAACAATTTTCAAGCTTCTGACTACACATTGTTTATAAGTTAATTGCATGTCATGAATGTGAAAATGATAAATGCAAGTTATTCGTTTTGACTCCAACTGCTCACTTTCTACACTATTACTGTTGCTGGGGATCATTCATTAACATCTTAGGCCATTGTACTTTTGCCAAAAAGTTAGTAAAATGGTAAGACTGTATTATACTAATGCATAGTGTCAAATAATATAATGTTACATTTCAATTAATTTTTCATTTTAACTGGTTCACTTTTAGAAGCCATAATGCTTGTATATTTGAAATGAAGCTGCTAAGTATCATGAGGTGTTTGTGCAACCTCTATTAGCAGGCTTTAGAACTAATCGAAGCCGGTGAAGTTGATCATAAAATACTTAGTTTGCTAATCAAGAACAACTCTTTAGGTTACTTAAGTTTGAAAATATGTTTAATTTTGTTTTACAACAGAATCTAATATGCTTTGAATTAATTATTTCAAAAGACAAGCAATTTTTTTCAAAGTTTTTCTTTCATGCCATAAATAAGGAAAGTCTGTTCACTGTAAATAAATTTTACATCCATACAAGTTTTGGTGGGCCCTGAAATGTGTAATTGAGGTTTATAAACATCTTTGTGATTACTGTCAAAATAGCTATATATTACACCTAATTAAATGTATATTGAAACGATACCTTCCTGATGGGTATAATCTTTAAGTAAATTATTAAAAAATAAATAAAAGGTTGCCACATTAAATAGTAATTTAGCACATACAGGAACAACTTAATATCTTATTTTTTTATTTTGACAGTCATAAGTATTTCCTTGAGGAAATGTAATAGTTTTGCCACTATGATCATTATTAGTTTCTTTGAAAAGGATATTTCCAAAATATAAAACGTAAGCTATTATGGGATAAAGTAATGTAAAAACATTGAAACTTAATAGGTCATATAATTAGTAACCCAAAGTATATTAAGTCATGATTTTTGCTTAATTTTCATTAAAACTGCATTAAAGTCATACAAAATTCTTAAATCTCAGATGCATTCCTTATGTTAAAAAAACAACAAAACTTTGGAAAATAAATATTGCCAGCACGTACATTATCTAATGCTATAGAAACAAAATTCAAGGAAAAGTGCTATTATTGAGTTATAAAAAACAATACTTTAGTAGTAATGTATAATATAAAACACTATAGAGAGAGAGAGAACTCGTAAAAGAAACTAATCATATCTAGTGCTTCACATGAAACTCACCTTTTACGAAAGTAAAGAACTTGGAAGGCTGCATACGATAATAAAACACTAACAATAGCAGCTGGAGCTGCAAACAGTAACCAGTTGGCATAGTCTACAGATGGCAAGCCATGATATAACCTATGAAAAAAACCAAATTAATAAAACATTTTGGTAAAACGTTTATATTACTTGAATAGGTGAGTATATAAACTGACCAGTACAAGCATATACATTTAGTACATTTCTAGTTGTATAAACTTTTGGGCTTGGCAGCAATAAAATTTGACTATACAAGTGTTACCTGTTATTGGTAAATTTTAATTTCCAGTACCTGATATAGAACAAACTTTTGAAATTATCATTTACAGCATCCTGTTTGAAATAGTATAATACTTCTGTGTAGGTTTCACAAGGAGAGATAAATAGAATGCATTTAAAGACCCAAATTGAGTTGCAGGCCTCACATTCTTAATAGTGAAAAAAAAAGAAAAGAAAAAAGATGTGGGGGCTCTAGACCACAACATCATACATCTTTACCACCTTTCCCTGTCTTCAGCCAGATGTGGGAAGGTGGCTGCTTAAAAAAAAAAAAAATTAGTAAGGAGAAAAAAATAATTGGAATACAATACATCAATTGGGAAACAGTAAAACTGTCCCTGAAGTTGGCATTCCAGACCTCATAATGATGTTTGGGCATAAATACCATGATGTTAAGGTATTCCTATACAAGCCCAACCTAAATTGTTAGTATAGCTTCCATCCATGCAACTGGCAAGATCTTCTAGTAGCAGGTCTTATATAGGGAAAGTGATACATCTACATTTATACACCTATACAAGATACAGTCCAAATAAGTAATTCAAATAATTCCCCTAGAAAAATTAGAAGTTATTGCTTATTGTGTTTATTATGATTTCGTTTATACTACATTTTTAAATTTACATACATAACTTGTATACTTATTACAAAATAATTTAAAATATTTAATTAGAGTTATCTTATTAAATCCATTAAACATCAGTTTATTCACTAATATATTAATGTTGGAAATTTGGAACTGTTCATTATAACAAATTCTACAATGCATCATACATTCACAGCTACGCCATACAATCACAGTTCCTCCTTTATCCGATGGTTTGATATAAAAGACTTTAGTGTAGATATTTAGAGCAATAGAAATAGAGAAAGGTAGTTCAGCTTGTCAACTAAAATTCTAAAGCAATTGAATAGGCCTAAGTGAATTTTTTTACAACAAGAAGAGAACTGTATATAGTGTTTATGATGTGCCTTTAATCTCTATAGTGTAAATAATTTGTTGTATATATATTTAACCAGTTCGAACATAAACATACATTATTTTGAAAACAAGTGGAGTGCGTGCTGCTCGTTTATTTTTGAATTTATTGCCAACAAGTCACAGACACCTACTGTAGAAGAATTCTAAGCCCAACAACACACCCACATACTTACTTTAATATACAAACTAAAAAGTAAGTAGCCCTTGACAGATAACAACATAATCAAGAATGAATGCTTTATTTTTAGGGTTTCGTGCTTTGTAGTTAAGTTTGTTGATTTCAATACTACATTTATCTATATAATAATCAAGTGGTTGAAATGACCCACTGGGAGTGTGTTGTAAGTTGTAAAAGGGGGTCTTCAGCAGCACTGATTTGTGAGGTTTCACCATTTCATGTTCTGTAAGGCAAATTTTATTATTGTCACTTAAATTGCTGGTATTAAAATAGGCTTGGATCCTTAATCATCAAAAAAAATAGTTTGCAATCCATTTGGATGAAATTCATACATGTTTGGTCCAATGGGAAAAAATTTAAGTCCCTAATTCAGCACGGATCTTTCTGCATTTGTCAAAGTATGATTAGATGCAATAGTTACGACAGTTTTAGTCGGTGTCTTTCTCTCCGTGTAATCATTTAACGTGTTATCTTTTATTATTCTTCCCACTGCGGACTTTATATTTTAGAATCCGGGTTTTGATACCTGTGGTGGGCAGAGCAAAGATAGCCCATTGTGTTGCTTTGTGCTTAACTTCGAACAAACAAACAAACATTTGGGCCAGATGGTTAGGGCACATGATTCGCAAACTGTGGTTCAATTTTAGAATCCGGGTTTTGATACCTGTGGTGGGCAGAGCAAAGATAGCCCATTGTGCTTAACTTCGAACAAACAAACAAACATTTGGGCCAGCTGGTTAGGGCACATGACTCGCAAACTGTGGTTCGAATCCCCATCCGACCAAACATGCTCGCTCTTTCAGCCATAGGGGCATTATATTGCGACAGTCAATCCCACTATTCATTGGTAAAAGAGTAGCCTAATAGATGGTGGTGGATGGTGATAATTAGCTCTAGTCTTTCACTGCTAAATTAGGGACGGCTAACACAGATAGCTCTCGTGTAGCTTTGTGCAAAATTCCAAACAATCTTTTATTAACTGTAACTGCAAATTGTTTGGATGCAAAATTCCTAGATTTACGAGTTTATTTGACTTTTTATTACAGAGAGCAAAGTAATAAAAAGTAAGGTTTTTTTTTTAGAATATTATGCACTTGTCTTGCATAGTTATATCTATTTATTGCAACGAATTTATCATTATGTATTTATTTTTCATATGACGTTGTTTGTATTGAATTTGTATTTAGAAATATACGTGACTTGTAGTATCAGATATGTGTTGCATATAACAAATTTGTTATATGTTTATTTTAATGTCAACGTTTGTTTGTTGTTAGTTACGTATGGCGAAACTCCCGCCAATTCTCCAAGATTGTAGGATATTCGTGAACACAAGAATCAACAATATATCCACTTCCATAACCAGTATTATCAGAAGTTTCTAGAAAACGTGTCTCGCCTATAAAAACAGCAGGGCAACGCGCCAAAAAACAACAGAGAATAGCGAAGAATTAAGTCTGCTAGGAAACTGTTATAACCTGTGTACGCTATAAGCCGTGATTTTGCAAAGCCTTACCAACCAGAAAATATACGACATTTGACCAGGAACATCTATAAGTTTCGAGCGTCAATGAATTATCATCAAACGTTAGTATCTTTCCAAAAATGTTGCTGGTTTTTCATCGGACATTAATGGTTTTATGAAAATATTATCTTACTTCGACGGTCCAACAATTCAGTGCCTGACAAAGCTAGCTAGCTTCGCGATAAATTGTACGTACATCAACTTCAAGTTAACTCGCT